GTGGAGGCGGGAACTATACATAGTTTTAAGACGAGGTTTGATAAAGCTCATGGAGCAGGGAAAGAGAGGACCCAGTAGCAACCAGTGAAGAGGCGGGGCCAGGAGCTAAGAATCGACCCCTGCAACCACAAATAGGTGAGTACAAATAGGTGAGTACACACACACACATCAACCAGATAACTGCTGCAGCATACGGGCGCCTGGCAAACCTGAGAATAGCGTTCCGATACTTTAGTAAGGAATCGTTTAAGACACTGTACACTTTGTACATCAGGCCCATACTGGAGTATGCAGCTCCAGTTTGGAACCCACACCTGGTCAAACACGTCAAGAAATTAGAGAAAGTGCAAAGGTTTGCAACAAGGCTAGTTCCGGAGCTCAGGTGTATGTCCTACGAAGTAAGGTTGAGGGAAATCGGACTGACGACATTGGAGGACAGGCGGATCAGGGGAGACATGATAACGACATACAAAATACTGCGTGGAATAGATAAGGTAGATAGACAGGTTTTTCCAGAGAGGGGACACAGAAACAAGGACTCACAATTGGAAGCTAAAGATTCGGACGAGTCATAGTGATATTAGGAAGTATTTCTTCAGTCATAGAGTCGTCAGGAAGTGGAATAGCCTAACAAGTGATATAGTGGAAGCATGAACCATACATAGCTTTAAGACGAGGTATGACAAAGATCTGGAAGCAGAGAGAGAGAGAGGACCAAGTAGCGATCAGTGGAGAGGCGGGGCCAGGAGTTGTGTCTCGACCCCTGCAACCACAATTAGGTGAGTACACACACACACACACACACACACACACACACTCGGGGCCAGGAGCTAGGACTCGACCCCTGCAACCACAAATAGGTGAGTACACACACACACGGGAGAGTAGACCTAATGGCGACCAACGAAGAGGCGGAGTCCAGGAGCTGTGACTCGACCCCTGCATAGGTGAGTACACACAACACACACTCACACACACTCACACACTCACACACTCACACACACACACACACACACGAGTATTTTTGCAACACTAAACAGCAATAAGATTGCTGTTATTATAGCCTTAACGCATTACGGTTCTCACCCCATCAAGCGTAACTCCATTATCACATTTTGAAACCAATTTCCAGCCCAGAAGTAATTGAGATCAATTACAAAACGATGCAGAAAGTTATAGTTTTGAAACACTTAATGACCCGAGGGAAAAAAAATCGCTGGAGTTCACGGCATTTCTTACCGCTCACCAGGACTCGACCCTGCAATCACATATAAGTGAGTACACACATACACAAGGTGGAAAGAGACAGGTTGTTCTAGAGGCGGGAAACAGGAGCGCTAGGGCAGTGTAAAACGTGAATGAATCACAGGGGTGTTAGGAAGTATTTCTTCAGCCTTAGAGTGGTCAGGAAGTGGAATGATTTGGACAGTGGAGTGTTAGAGGTTGAATCCATTCAGAGCTTTAACAATAGAGAGTGAACCTAGTTACCTACATCCTATTCTCACTATTTCACTTACCCTTTCCTTCCCCATTCCCTTATCTCCCCTTCCCTTTCCTTACCACCCCATCCATCTCTTCCCTCCCTTGTTAGGTAAGACACATATGCAACAGTTAGGTATCTTTATTTCGAAACGTTTCGCCTACACAGTAGGCTTCTTCAGTCGAGTACAGAAAAGTTGATAGAAGCAGAAGATACTTGAAGACGATGTAATCAGTCCATCACCCTTAAAGTTTTGAGGTGGTCAGTCCCTCAGTCTGGAGAAGAGCATTGTTCCGTTGTCTGAAACAATATGAAGTTGAAGTGACAGGATGGAGCCTTTATATAGTGCCAGGAGGTGAGACGTAGGTTGCTTTGGGAGGGCAGGTCCCTCTCAAACCCAGCCGTTCTCACTAGTAGAGGTCGAAGTTGATGGTCTGTACCAAGATACCCTTGTGTTGCAGTGTCTGACAGAATGAACATTAAAATGGTATAAAATACCGACAGATTGTTAGGTAAGACACATATGCAACAGTTAGGTATCTTTATTTCGAAACGTTTCGCCTACACAGTAGGCTTCTTCAGTCGAGTACAGAAAAGTTGATAGAAGCAGAAGATACTTGAAGACGATGTAATCAGTCCATCACCCTTAAAGTTTTGAGGTGGTCAGTCCCTCAGTCTGGAGAAGAGCATTGTTCCGTTGTCTGAAACAATATGAAGTTGAAGTGACAGGATGGAGCCTTTATATAGTGCCAGGAGGTGAGACGTAGGTTGCTTTGGGGAGGGCAGGTCCCTCTCAAACTTGGGAGGGACCTGCCCTCCCAAAGCAACCTACGTCTCACCTCCTGGCACTATATAAAGGCTCCATCCTGTCACTTCAACTTCATATTGTTTCAGACAACGGAACAATGCTCTTCTCCAGACTGAGGGACTGACCACCTCAAAACTTTAAGGGTGATGGACTGATTACATCGTCTTCAAGTATCTTCTGCTTCTATCACTTTTCTGTACTCGACTGAAGAAGCCTACTGTGTAGGCGAAACGTTTCGAAATAAAGATTACCTAACTGTTGCATATGTGTCTTACCTAACAATCTGTCGGTATTTTATACCATTTTAATGTTCATTCTGTCAGACACTGCAACACAAGGGTATCTTGGTACAGACCATCAACTTCGACCTCTACTAGTGAGAACGGCTGGGTTTGAGAGGGACCTGCCCTCCCAAAGCAACCTACGTCTCACCTCCTGGCACTATATAAAGGCTCCATCCTGTCACTTCAACTTCATATTGTTTCAGACAACGGAACAATGCTCTTCTCCAGACTGAGGGACTGACCACCTCAAAACTTTAAGGGTGATGGACTGATTACATCGTCTTCAAGTATCTTCTGCTTCTATCAACTTTTCTGTACTCGACTGAAGAAGCCTACTGTGTAGGCGAAACGTTTCGAAATAAAGATACCTAACTGTTGCATATGTGTCTTACCTAACAATCTGTCGGTATTTTATACCATTTTAATGTTCATTCTGTCAGACACTGCAACACAAGGGTATCTTGGTACAGACCATCAACTTCGACCTCTACTAGTGAGAACGGCTGGGTTTGAGAGGGACCTGCCCTCCCAAAGCAACCTACGTCTCACCTCCTGGCACTATATAAAGGCTCCATCCTGTCACTTCAACTTCATATTGTTTCAGACAACGGAACAATGCTCTTCTCCAGACTGAGGGACTGACCACCTCAAAACTTTAAGGGTGATGGACTGATTACATCGTCTTCAAGTATCTTCTGCTTCTATCAACTTTTCTGTACTCGACTGAAGAAGCCTACTGTGTAGGCGAAACGTTTCGAAATAAAGATACCTAACTGTTGCATATGTGTCTTACCTAACAATCTGTCGGTATTTTATACCATTTTAATCTTCCCTCCCTTCCCCGTTTCCTCCCCTCCCCTCCCATCTCGTCATGCTCTCATGATAACCAACGAAAAAAATATATGAAAAGGGGCAGCAGGTGTAAGGGAGAATGCGCAGTGTTTCCACTCGTCCCAGGATCTGACACGGGTCCTTCAGTTGAGCTGAATAACTGTTTCAATTCAACAGGGTGGTTGCAGGATGATACCATCAACGTACATACACTATATATAAGATATATATATATATATATATATATATATATATATATATATATATATATATATATCTCAGGCTCTGATCCACCATGAGGTATGGTCACAGACCGGGCCGCGGGGGGCGTTGACCCCGGGAACTCTCTCCAGGTAAACTCCAGGTATATATATATATATATATATATATATATATATATATATATATATATATATATAATATATATATATATATATATATATAAACTGTAGCTTGCTCGAAATGCTCCGTATGGGTTTTCTGCATGCACAACTATATGTTACCCTACCCATGTCTGTACAAACATTGTATCATGCCCAAATAAAATATGATCACTATTATTATTTGTCAAACTTGTATGTATTGAATACAAAATATCATGTCTTCCTGAGAAGCAATGTGCATTATTTGATTTGCAAAACCTAAGGGGAATAAATTGCAATGTATTTTTCGAGCATGTTATTTGTAGCATCATCATTGTTGATTATCATACAATTTTTATATTGTGTTTTTAATTTATTGTTGGGCCCCTCCCAGCAGCCATGGAGTCAATGTTACACAGAAAACCTAAGTAAAGATGATAAAGGGACACTCAAATAAAGTTGAATCTTGCGACTATTCTTTATTTTATGTTGATTAATGTTAAATGTTTTTATATATTAATTAATTTGTTCGTATGTTTTTGGTAAAAAATATGGGGAAGGATGTAGAGGAATGTGGATGCAGTCCTGAGACACCTCTTCCCAACTCTGGAGGTAGAGTGTATTGTAAGACATAACATTGGTGGTGTTGCTGAATTGTCAAGGTAATCGTTTGAAGGGCTTGGTGGGGAAGATCATTATGGCAGGGCAGTGTGAGGT